AGAGAAGGGGGAGAGAAGGGAGGGGGAGAAAGAGATAAGGAGAATTATAATCTTATGAAAATTACAGAAGCAGTTTTGCGATCCCAATAGTTTGAAGTCAAGTATGTAAAACTTTCACTCTTTTCAAACTTTGCGTTCAAAAAATCAAAAATCCATTGAATATTTACTACAACATCCTGCATTGTAAGTCTCACAGATTTTAACCTTAACATTTAATATTTTAAACATAATACAATAGTTGTCACAAACCTTAACATTGTAAGGAATATCAGATATTTTTATCCCCCATTGAGGAACCACTTTACATTTTCAGCTACAATTGATGTCCAAGGATATCTAAACAATTCCAAATTCATCTTGGTTCTGGATGCAGAAGTGAACATCTGAAACCAACAAAATTTAATCAAAACAGTCAGAATTCAAGCTGTTTCCAGTTGCCAACAACCCATGGAAGGGAATGGTATTTACGCTGAAGTATTGGAAACTGAATGCATCTTGAAACCTAAAAATGCTGAATGAAATTTGTTGAAATCTTCAGAAAATTCAAAAGCAAAACATTCTGAAAAATATTATCTATTTTGCCATTTACATTATGTTCTGATCAGCTAGAACCTTAAGGTACGAACAATTTCAGAGCATAACGTAAATTTAGTTTTAAATAAAGTATCTTTACCAATGGCGTACACATGAAAGAACTTTAGGAACTTCATTACAAATAATTAACATTGCAATGAAGCTCCTGATAGAATAGCATCCATTTAATGACCATTCAGAAATCACATTTAAATCAGACAATACATCACAATTGGCACAGACTTGATGCTTGAGCAACTGAGGATATAAAATGTCATTCTTCAGCACTTACACATGCTTTTACTGCATCCCAGGAGCATAATTCTTCAGGGAAACAAGAAAATGATTAGTTTCGTATTTTCAAATTGAATACCGAGGGATTCCAACTGATAATAGAAACTAAGTACCCCTAATAGTAATGGTAAATAATTATATGCATTTGGGCCCGCCAGGTCATTAGGTTACATCTAGAAGCTTACCAATTTTAGTTCATTCTTAATTCATCAACTTATAAATTACTAAACCATATCTACGGCTTTAACTTCCGTTACGCAGTTTAATGACTGACAAATTACATAGAACAAAGTGAAAGTAAGGAAGAAAGTTTATTGAAATCCACGAATTCAAAAATTAATAAAAGTGGACTATCTACACGCGTTCAACGATGAAACATAGGAGACCAACTAGGGATGAAAATAATGAAGGAAATAGTTTCAGGATATCTTACCAACAACAAAATTTAAGATTCCAGAACTGTTCTTTTCACCCTTATTAGTAATACTTATAAAATCCAAAAACTGTAGGGATTGTAATTCTAAACAAGAAACGGAAGTGCTGACCTGATACTATACAAAACGGTTAAAAAACAAAAGTTTAGAACTTCAATATACATATCCTTTCATTGCAAGTCGTCCGTGACCACGTGTTCATTTCATAACGTCTATTCAACTTGGCACAAAGAAATCGAATATTCTAATGAAATTCGTAAATTGACGTTAATGTTTCAGTGTACAGAACATAGTACATCCTACATTACAGACAGATATTGCGAATACTGACCTTAATAGCTCCTACACGCTATCGCAGTGAGAGGTGGTACAAACGCAGCCGCTCGCTCTCATTACATAACTTAAAATGGCGGAGATTTCAGCGGAAGAGTTCGGGCCTTTCAACTTCCATACATAAAATAAAACTATTGGAGACAATTACAGTGGTGCGCTCTACCTTCCACATTCTTGTAGGAACTAAAAAAACAGACTGCCACCATTGTTCATGTCCGCGCCAAGCGTGGGCTGGCGAAATTGTTCACTCCCTCTTGAAATAGTCGCACAAGTTCTCGCGCTTTATCGAGCCAATGTTTTTCACCAAATATTATCATTAAAAATATAATGTTTCCACGTATTCCCATAGATGTGAAAATTCCCATAAGTTGGCGAGCCTTATATGCAGCAGTACCCGGAGGCTACCGCCCCTATCCTCGCACCCGACCTGAACGTAACGAATCAAAACCACTTACATTGCCAGCTTTTTGAATTACATGACGTCGCGCGTTTAGTTCGGCTCACTATACGCCTACGGTAGATGGCGTAGAAATCATTATCCGTTTTCACCTCTTTACTTGCACTGTTCAGTGCATATCCCCGCTACAATATATCGAATATATCCACCTGTCCCCGGCAGCCGCCATTCCGGCAGATGTTTCAAAGATCGTTAAACAATATTAATTGAAATAATGGTGTTACTAATAACGTGCAGCTAGGAAAGAACCTGTTGCAATTATTAAACAGACTCCTTTAATAGATTGCAACTTTTGATGTTTGAATATCCTCAACATTTGGATTTTATAATTTTTTTATGTTCACGCCATCCTTGGATTCTTCATAGATCAAAAACTCGAAATTTTCCACACGAAAGAATGTTTTCTATAAATTTAAAAAAAGATTGTTCTTCTCATTCTCTCGAAAACATATTTCCAAATCTTTCACCTTTTACTCAAGAGTACTCGAATGTGTGTCATCCACACCCAGCATTGCACACGTAGGTAGACTTTTCTGTACGATCCCGTCCAGACATTGCGTCAGTGCTGCATCACTGCTTTTCAACCCGAAAGGTACTGTGACGTCATGGATACTCACAGCGACCACAGACACAGAGCTTTCAGATAACAAATATATTTATTAACAAGAAAACAAAACAAATATATACACTTAATAATCTACTTACACCCTAGCTCTGATAGACCTACTATCCCCTGATCGCGGGAGCGATCCTAACCCGATTGAAGATGGTTTTGATTGTGGCATTCGCCACTCCTACTTTTGAAGCGCGCACAAAGCCTAGCTTCCGTGACCGGATGTCACGCTGGGACACAAAGTCCGTTCTGGCGCACCAACGGCTGGTTTGCCTCGATCGCAGGAGCGATCTTATCCGATTGAGAATCGGCGTGAATCGTGGCACTCAACCACTCTTCACCTCGGAGCACGCACACAGCATCGCTCCCCCGTGACCGCAGTCACCCAAGGACCTAAAGTCCGCAGGCTTCGTCAAGTAGTGACTCGAGCCTCGCGAGCCTGGCTCGCATATGCACCGTCGTGGCGCCAAGTTTTGTGCACACGCACGAGGTTCTCCCACTGTCTCCAGAACCCACCCACTGGCTCTGTACACTCTGTTATATAGGCGAGGCCCACGTGACCTACTACGTCACGCCACCCCCTCGCTTGTTATAACAGTGAAAAGTTTCTATAGGCCGGATACTCCCAAAGCCTTGTGTCTCCCGTTTCCGCGTTCTTCCCTTTACGGAAAAACCCTTCTTCCTGTGGCGAGGTTAATCCTCTGCCAAGCGTCCCCAAATAGATGCCACGAGGCACGCTGGCTAATACGTTACAGTACTCTCGTCAACACAAGACTAATCCCTTTAAACATGAATCCCGGGAATTGTTGACCGGACGGTACAATTTACAACTACCAATAAGCGTGACTAAATTCGGGTTTGTGAACCATGCATGTTCTCCGAAATTCAATATCTCATTTATTCGTGACCGATCACAGCATTATTATACGTGTAGGCGCGTCAACACTGAACAACAATTTTACCCTTTTTTCCGTGGGTGAAAGTATGTGTGTCTTAAAGACAATGGAATGCTGAATCATTACACGTCTTCAGTTTGTCCTATCACATTTAGTTTTGGGGAAATTGACAACTATATTTTCTATGCTATTTGGTGTATCACGGTTACATTAAAGTACACATTACAGAATACCCACCTCACTGCAAGGATCTTTCAGTTCTCTTCTGTTTGTATGATGAGGATAATGTTTCCAGAGGCGGTTCTTTATTAGGTTCACAGGATCACGCAACACCCCCAAAAATGAACAAAATAGAATATTCACTTCATTATTGCAATCTAATTAATAGTACGAAACATATTTCTATAATTTCCATACATTACATTGACGAACCGATGTGACTACATCGCTGTTCATGTTCTCGGAACGACACGTCGCTCAGACCTCGTTCCATAACAACCGTTGGGGACTACGTGACTTCGCTTGTGTTTTCATTGAGTGCCTTCATCGGATCATGTTCACACTTACGCAGCGAACTCCGCTTGGCGCAGCATTATCCAGGCCCAGGCTATCGCGTCATCCAGCTCCAAGACGAAATCTCCGTGGCGCTCTTAGTAGGGAGTTTGTGCCACCGTTAAATGACTACCAATCTTCTGCTCATGTGCAGTTGAAGTTTCGCACCACTTTAGTGCATCAGCGCATGTACAGAAGATCGATAGTACTGACGCGATGGCGTGCACAAACACCCTACTAAAAGTGTCCTCGATACGATACTTAAAAATGTAAGTTTTTCATCTCGGATTTGAATAGTGCTTTAATTATAGTGTCCGTGCATTCTACTGTTCAATTATTTAAATCAAGGAGCTTGGTCCGAATCAGCCCGTTGTCAAAATTAGAACAACTGTGAAATCAGTAAACCGAGTTTCGTCAACGATTCACTGCTAACATTTATTTAACACACAAGTGGCTATGTATGGCTGTGGCAATTTATCTGTTTCTTCTTCATTCTTCTGGGATAGTATCCCTACCCAGCACAGGGTATGAGTAAAGACTACAACGGTCCAAGAGACAATGTGGATCCAGGCGAATATCACAGTGGCTTGAGGAGCGGAAAAAGCAGCCCTCTCTGCAGGGGTTTATACGCAGAGAAGCTGGGATAGAAGCTTTAAGATGGCAGTCCCATTACTATCCTTACCATGCGCAGCGCTTGCAACGCGGCCAGGGGACATCACTCCGCTAAATTCCTCAAAGATTCATGCCGGTCAGATTCCTCTATGCCAACATATGGAAAGAAAAAATAAACAACAACTATCGGAAATATTAAAGCTGGGAATATAGAATGTTAGAGCTCTCTCAAATAAAGAAACTGAATTAGAACAGGAAATAGATAAAGCTGGGATTGATATTGCTGAAATTACTGAAACCAAAAAAAATTACAGGGCTCATCAGAATTACAAAATTACATAATGATATACAGTGGAGTCCCTCAAAAACAGAGGGCATCGGCTGGAGTATCTATTCGGATCAGAAAAACATTGAAAAACAGAATAATATCGTATACTTTCATAAACGAAAGAATAATAACAATGAGATTTAAAGTAGATAGAGGTTACGTTTCAGTCTTTGCCTTGTACGCACCGGAAGAGGGGAGAACTCAATATGCGATAAAAGTTTACGAACAACTACAGACAACAATAAATAAGATTAATAAAAGTGACTATCTTCTTTTATTAAGTGATTTAAATGCAAGAGGAGGGAATACACCTACAAAAGATATAGTAGGCACAGAAGGTGAATACACACTTAACAATAATGGGAAGAAATTAATAGACTTTGCCACGCACAATGAGAATTACTGACACTCTTTAAACACCGAAATATTCACAAATTCACATGGACAGCTCGTGGGTCCGCCTCTATAATTTATTACGTCCTTGCAAACAATAAGACTTGGAGAAATATCAAGGGTGTAAGAGTATTTAGAAGTGTTGATGTGTCATCTGACCATTTCTTAGTAAGATGTCACATAATGTTCCCAATGAGATGGAAGAAAACCATCTTAAAACCCAAACCAGAAATAGAAACATTTAAAGTTCACCATTTACAAGATTATAGCATAAGATTTTTATACCAGAGTAGACTCAACCAGAAGTAACAATATAAATAAAGAATGGGCAAACACTAAAGAAATTATAACACAGGCAGCAGTAGAAGCAATAGGGTCAAGGAAAAATAAATTCTCAAAACGAGGGCTAAGGTTTTGGAATGATAATATCAAACAACTAATTAAAGAAAAAAGAAGCGTATTTAAAGACTCTCTCATCTTCTGGGAATATGAATCATAGAATGGAATATAAAAGAAAATCTGCTTTACTTAAAAGAGTAGTTCGTAAGCTTAAACGAGAAAGTTGGAAAAGATATGTTAGCAAAATTGAACATGACTTACTTGGAAACCAAAGTAAGGCATATAAAATTATAAAATATTTAAATAATCAAGATAGAGATAAAGTTCAATTAAATACAATTTCAGAAACTAAATGGTTAACTTACTTTAAATCGCTATGGACCTCTGAAGATGAAGAAGAGAGAGGAATTAAAATTGATATATGTAATTCTATTGATCTGATCTCTATGGATGACTTGAAAGTAGCCATTAACACAACTAAAAATAAAACGTCACCTGGTACTGATAATATAAACATGGAATTGATCATATATGCATCAAATCAATTTACGCAGAAACTTCTTAACTTTATTAATATCTGCTGGTCCACTGGATATGTGCCAGAAGAATGGAATGAAGCCCTAATTTACCCACTATATAAAAAGGCGAGAAATCTGAATGTTCAAATTATAGAGGTATAAGTCTTCTAAATTCCTGTTATAAAATCTATGCAAAAATTATCAATCAAAGATTAGTGCCTATTGTTGAAACTCAAATATCTGAAACACAACATGGTTTCAGAAAAGGTAGATCATACTCAGACTGTATTTTTGTACTGACACAACTTACTGAAAAGCAAAGAGAATTCAAATTACGGACATACTATGTCTTTATTGACTACCTAAAAGCATTTAATAGCCTTAAAAGAAGATTATTATGGCAAACACTGAAAAATATTGGACTCCCTCCCCCATCTTATCACAGCAATTCAATCATTATAAAGAAATAATAAAATCATGATCCGAATGCTAGAATGGAACAGAATCAGCGTATATAAACCAGGGAGTAAGACAGGGATGCCGCTCTCGCCGACGCTTTTTATATTATATATATATATATATATATTATATATATATTAATATATATATATATAATATATATATAAAGCGTTGGCGTCATATGTATGGACGTGACGTTAAAATAATGGTTGAAGATTTTAAATGATGTTCTTAAGATTAATAATGTCGTGATCACAACATTACTTTTTGCCGACGGCCAGCTTATCATAGGAAAATCTCAATATGAAATTTAAATAGCAGTCCACAAGTTAAGTCAGGTTGCTAATGAGAATGGTATGAAAATCTAATCAAGTAAAACAAAAGTGATGGCATTTAAAGGACTTGAACCTTTCAGAGCAAAGATAGTTATATATGACCAAATAATTGAACAAGTTAATGAATTTAAATATCTTGGATATAATTTTAATTATATAAAATCAAGGGATATAGAAATAAAGCTGAACAACTTCACATCTTTCTGTGGAACGTTACAGCGAACTCTACATCAAAATGCGCAAACGGAAACTTCTCAGATTTTACAAAGTTATTGCTTTGCCATTACTACTTTATGGAAATGAGAGCTCGACATTAACATCAGATCAGCTGCGCCGAATTGAATCTGCAGAAATGAGATTTCTTCGTTTTGTGGCAGGATATTCACTATTAGACCACAAAAAAGTGTAGATATCAGAGAAGAACTAAATATTGAGCCGATTATAGATACCATAAAGAAATTTCTAATTATTCGATAGAAATCACAATATTTTACATTTTTTTTAAAAATATATGGTACAATGTTCTTAAAAAATTTTAATAACTGTGTTCATTAATCGATAGGGAAATATTGGAGAGGGTGCCTTTCGACCATTGCTTTTGCAACATCCTTAAATTTAACTCACCCACCGCCACTGAATACACTAAAGAGCAAAAAATACTCGTACAGACATGCGTATTGAAATAAAGAGATCTAAAACCAATCAGAATACGGAGATACAGAGTTGTTTTTCATTGTTAAGATGCGTTAAAAGATATCTTATTTATTAAAGGAAACATGAATTACACAATTTATGAACAGACGGAAAAGCTAGGATTTCACAAAGCATCTTAAACTCAACAACGAATGTGACGTAGTTCTTCCAAACCTTACGTGATAGCCCAAAACTGATTACAGTTCTGGATTCAGCATAAAAAAATGCTTCTACACCATGTTCTTCGTTTTGGGAACCAAGAGTCTCGTTGGCCAGTCTAATCGATTAGATCCATCTTTATTCTTGAACAGTAAAATCGGATATTTTTGCGGTACTAGTCTCTTCCTTAATGATTCTTTCTTAAAGCATCTCTTTAATTAACCTCGTAACCTCTTCCTTACGCGCTATCGGTATTGGACAATTGTTGGCTTTGTAATGTGTACGATCAATCAACTCTATTTGAAATGAATAACCTTTTACTGGTTAGTTCTCTTTTTTCTTAATACGTCTTAAAACCAATATTTTACTACTAAATATGCAATGTTATAGCTGTTACTACCTATCATCACCTCGCTCAATACTTGCTTTGTGATGGGATGTGATTTCTTTATCCATGCATTGACGATCCGCATTTTAGTCGGGTGTAAAACAGGTATAAATTCCATATTTGACTAATCGTTTACAGAATTCTTCCGCTATGACTGACATCACTGACCTTGTGTCTATTTATGCCTGACCATTAATCTTCCTGCACGTTACATAATTAGCAAGATACTCTTTCACTTAATTTATTCCTCTTTGGCCCCAAATATTTCTTCCTCTTTGACTTTAATATTTCTGGGTGTATAATTTTATTGGCAATAATGGGATTAGCGGTTTTAGTTTCAGAAGTCCAGTTATATTTGGGATTCCCGTTCTATCTGATCTCCCCAAGTCAGTAGCGAATTCTTCGATACACCGTGTATATCAGCGGTATACTCAGGAATTTAAAGTGTATAAACATGTTTCATGAGTTTAGTAATACCCTAACACGTTACTGAGTTTATGAATGTATTTAAAATAGATACGAAAAAATAACAATGTTTTGCTATTAGGAGCAAGTCAGTCTTCCGCATCCGTAAGTTTCTGTGCTGTGAAGTACGTTAGAGTGAGAAGTTTCAAACAGTTATTTGCCTAACGGAGAACTATCTGAGAGTAAAGAGAATGAAAACTGTTTAAACGCTGTTTCGAAAAGGAGGTAAAATAGCCGGAAATGAAACCATAT